ACTCACGCTTACTAATAAACGCCTCGCCTCCGGCGCCGCGCACTCGCTACATTCCCTTTAGCACATCTAGTGGATGCATAACGCAAACCCAGTCAAACGTTTGACTGCAGTATCTTATGCGCCTTATAATCCGGTGCGCCCTATATATGAAAATTTTTCTAAAATAGGTAATTCATTGAAGGTGCGCCTTATAATCCGGTGCGCCTTATAGTGCAGAAAATACGGTAGTAAAATTATGCACAATACAAGTACTATTTAACCGGAGCGAATGAGACGAGTGAGTGTGTCACTTCGTCATCAGGGAAGAGAGCGAGAACGTGCAGCTGATGTTATTGCCTGTGTCGCTGGCAACAAAACAGACCGGCTCGAAATCGGAAAGACGTGAGACTGACCGGTCACTGTTTGTCAGTGCTTTATATCTGCTTCAAAACTTTTGACTTTTGAATATGTCAAGACAATTTATGTTATGCCTCATCTCACCTTAATCTGCCTTCCTCTGAATAAGGACTCATCCAGTGCCATCGCCGTCCTAACAGACTCCTTGTCTGCAAACTCTATATATGCAAAACTGAAATGTAAAGAGAGCAAATGATCACGAGGGCAGTCAAGGTAAATTAAAAAGAACAAAAAAAGCATATACTGAAACTGCTATGAATTATTAATTGTTCTGCCCAAATATATACATGCATCAGAAACTAAGTAAGCATATTGTTAAAGATTTAAAGATGACAGAAAGTAGATGTGATTAAAGCATTGCATCAAATGTTTCCGGGCTGGCAAATTATTAATGGGAACAGCTTGAAAATACTGTGAACCAGAATAGCTAAAGAACAATCTCAAACTCAGCCAAGTCCACATATAAAAAGTATAAAAATCACACCACATACCAAAAAAAAAACCCCACTATACTAATTTCAGCAATGTTCCTAGAAATACTGAGTGGCCATGCACAAAGATAAACAGTTGTTTATATAAAAATACACATTTCTTTATAAATAAGCTCTAAATTCTGAAGAGAAAAATCCTTTTAGTTTAGTTAGCAATTAATAATTTGTGTTTAATTAAACACTAATTTTATTTAACAACACTTCTTTACTAGTATCACAGCCAATATGCCTCAAATTCTAGACATGTTTTTCATTTCAGTGGCTACTGTTCACTATATATGGGTTAAGGTGATGCATCAATGCCTTCTCTAAACCTTCAGTGCCTATCTAGAGCAGACGCTGCACAACAGAGAACAAGAAAATGAGACGCCCAAGAAAAGGACAAATACGACGTGTAGGAAAGTGCAGGTTAAGATGGAAAAAAAGAAAACAGGAGAATGCATGAATTACCCTTTAGGGTGTCCTGTAAACTTGTCACACAAGATGGTGACTCTGTTTACGGACCCACATCCGTGGAAGTGCGCCTCCAACTCCTCTGCCGTCGCACCATAATCCACCTGCAAGAGACAAAATCGAATCACTACCATTTCTAACGAAAACATTACAAAATGCAACGAAATGTATGACCCCAGCTCGTAGGTGTGAGAATAATTGCCCATACATTTCCAACATAAATAGATCTCCCATCGGCTTCCATCTTCTCTTCAATGGACATGATGACAGGGCCAGCTGCAAAGAGAAAACATTATTTCCACACAACTCTGAAACTCTCATTCATCAACATATGCAACTTCATGATTTATCATAGTAACCCCATTGTCGGCAAGGTTATTGCATAGCTTCATCTCTGAAGTCTACTTTTTGTTCTGTTTCTAATCATATCTCTATTGACCTCAAATGGTCCCGTGTTAGTTATTCTTCTCCTAATGCAGTCTCATGCATCATCACGGTCTGTTCTGCAATGCTCTCCTTTAACTCAATCTTCGTTCCCAAGACTTGCCCGTTCTCCCTCCCTCATTTATTCAGTCTCACTTACCAGGTGGAGGACTGAGATTCATCTGTTTCTCCACCTCGTTCTGTAGCTCCTTCAGTTTCTCTGCCTCCTCCTCCATCTCTCTCACCCGGGCTTTAATTGCCTCCAACTCCTGAGAAACCAAATTAACATGCACACTTAGACCTTACCCAAAAAACACAGAATATTAAACATTCAACAAAATTGTTAATAAATATTTTGCATAGCTAGATCCTGATATTTAAAAGAGTCAATTATTTTAGTGTGCCTGATTGACATTGGATCCAAATGCAGCAGTATGTGTTGCTGCTAAACCCATTTTGTCAAAATCAGTCATTATTCTCACCGGTTTTCATGGAGACAGCATGCACATGCACTTTCACACACGTGATTATGCACTGGGCTCTTTCAAACCATTTATTGTCCAGTCAGCAATACGCCCTAAGCATGATGCCATCCGTGCGCGCATTGTTGTGCGCGAGCGAACACACTTTTGGTGTGTATTCATTCACACACACAAGTTTCAGCAGTGCTGCATTGCAGGGCAGTCGCTTTGGATCGCTCCTAAAGTAACACAGCATGCATGTGATGGCCCCTTTTACGCAGTTAAGATTTAGCATGATACGATTTAAATAGAATACACAACCAACAGCACATTATAAAAGTAACTAATGATTAAATACGAGCCATAAATAGAGCATAATTGCATGATGAAATAAGGTAGACATGCAAATACATGACCTACTCTAGTTCCAATAACGGTAATGTGCATGGAGAGAAATGCACCAGCCCAGCCCTATTGCCCCATCTCCATCACACACACACTCGCAAAAATCGCCAACAAATTATGCAATACATCACGAGCGGCATTTAATCTTTAAAGTAACGTTACATCGAATACAACGATCACGGCGATGCAGATGTGCATGACATACAGCGTTTTGCCCGACGACAACTATGCAGCTTTCCTTAATGTAACCAATTCGATGCAAAATCAGAAAATAAAAGCCTTTCACGCCTTTTTAACATGTCACACACGTCGCATGAAGATGTATTCCATTGCAGAGGCCAAAACCAATCACGCGCAATTACCAACGCGACTTACTTTTTCACGCCACAAATATTACTGATCAGAAAAGAGGCGTGTTTACCGTGAGCCGTCTGCTTCTTTGCGGATGGACCCACACACTGCTGCGGCTAATGGCGGCCTGTCCTACCCTCGCCCCTGTCTCTTACATCTCCCGTCGCGCATTTTTGCGATGAAGATTTTTTCCCTCCGCTAGGTCTGCAGATCTGGCGCAGAGGAACCCAGACCCATGTTGCGCCAACATGGCGGACAGGAGCACGCATGTCACTCACTAATTCTACTGCACTGCGTGAGCCACAATGGCGGACAAACCGACCTGGCAAAACCGGTTTCGCGTACACATGATTATTTGGTCTGTAATTCAGTTTTATTTAATTTTATAAACCTGAGGTTAAAGAGGAAATTGGGGTGAAAACCTATACCAATATACAAAATGAGTTGTTAAAGGGGGTGTGATAAGTCCTTCACTCACCGGATCTTCAATAGCGGCCTCTCCCTCGTCTAATCCAGGTTCTTCATCGCCGGCGCCTGGGTCTTCAAGTTCTGAGTGACCCGGGTCTGAGTCCAGCAGAGACTCATCTGCCAGTCCGTTACCAAACTCCGCCATCGCCTGATTCCCGGTGGTCCGACGCGCCTCGTGGCTGAACTACAGGCCGCGACTCTCGCAGGGGGGAGCAAGAGAGAGGGGCAGGGGAGGGAATAAAAAAAACGGCGGAAAACGCCGCTCACCAAAGTTAAAATGGGGAATAAAAAGCCCGCCTCGCTTCTTCTGGAGCTCAAACGTGTCCTTCCGCGAATAAAACAACAACACTAGTTATCCAAATATAAATAGGTTTCACTTGGTCAATATGTCGCACTTACTACTCTATTTACATTAGAAGACAAATTCAGAAAAGCAAATGTGTATTCTTCGCGAGGGCTCGTGTGTTCCAGAACAGAAATGGAAGCCGAGGGCGGGGATTCCGAGCACTGCAGGCGCACTATCGAAAGGTGATTGGACAATTCCGCACTTTAGACACGCCCTCTCAACATATCGAGAACGGGTATTGGTGTTCTCTTGGGATATTTCAATGCGCTCGCCACTTAGACTTTACAACAGTGACTGTGATTGGATGAAAGCAGCGTCATTCACGGCTCACAGACCACCTTTATATTGCTTGCAACGGTATTTGTATCGGATTAGAGGCAGAGCTACTATGCAATGTTGCCATGTCCGCACAGTATCATACACGTTGACTTGTATTTTATGTTTAGTCACTAAATCATTTATTTATTAAACTTATTTCCAAAATATAGTCCCATCTTTAGGCTTGCTGCTGCCTGGCCTAAATAGCACAATACAGCATGACCAAAGCAGCAGTTGTCAATAATTCTTTTTTTTCAGAGCCTTGAATTTCTCTTTTTGAAAATTTTTATTATATACGTTGTCATTTTTTATTTTGCATTATTATCTGAATGTTTGTCATGTTCGTAAAAGTACAGAAAAAAGTAATATTACCACTGGTTGTTGTCAAATAACCCCACCTACTGTCCGAGTTGTACTCTACACAATTTCTGCCTTTTTCCTTTTCTCGTTTGAGCACACACAGAAATTAAATGTATTTATACATGTCTATGGCCATTAGTAGTAGATGGCGTAATATATGTGATATATATAGTGTATATATATATAATTTTAAAAAACATTTGGGCTTGCTTTTGCAAGCAATGCTACTATTCACACTGAAATACCGAGACCTTCAAAACTTAACCCGAGGCCACTGAAATTATGCGCATGTCTTAGTTACCCATTATGAGACATGAATATTGATAATCTCTAACGAGTAATACTTTAGTATTTTCATTTACCTGCCACATTAAGCAATACATTAATGAAGCTGAACCCCTGACAAGATGGTCCATAATAGTTATATTAAATAGTGCTGCTAATACCCAACTTATGTAGACATAAAATATAAATAAATCTACATATACAAATGATAAGGGTAATTTATATAATGAAGAGAAACATCAATACATGAACTTCAGTTTATTTGTTTTCGGCATAAGAAAAAAGGAGAACCAACACAAAATGAAGGTACATTTGAGGGGAAAACAAGCTTAATCAATATTCTAATTTTTCATAACAAGACTGCCACCATTATCGTTCAATATTCATATCAATGACATCTCAGAGTCTGAGATGCCATTAAAAGCGTTATGAATCAATAATAATCAAAAGTGATGAAAAATAGTAAGTAGTAGTTATAACAAGTGATAATCAAGTGTCAATGAAAAAGTGAAAAGATAATATAAAAGCATTTCTCCATATTCTACCTATATACTCTGAACAGTGCAACACCATGTGATCCCACGTCCTGTAGCACTGCACTACAACCCAGTCCATGTTCATTTCATATGAACTACTTGACACTAATTTGAACAAAAACAACTTGTATTTGCTGGGATATACTGAAAACAAAACATTTCGATGAACTTCAAGTGTTCCAAGTTGAGTTGTCGGAAATGCATTTCTCTGTAGCTCATGCTTAAACCCTGGACTTGTTCAAAGTGTCAAGGCATGGGAGCTCCTTTGTGGTTTGCATTACAAACACTTCCAATCAAGATTGCTTTTTGGTATCTTTAATGAGACAAAGCAACAGAAAGAATAACTTTGGAATATCATTTTCTTAATATAGTTCATTAAAAAATCTTTTTTAGTTTTGCATTTTGTTAAAGTATTAATAGTATCAATAATAATATACAAAATAAACCAAAAAGGAAAAGCGTCTTTAGTATTTCATGTCCTTCAAATCGCACCTCCTGTTGGCCTGATGAATAGTCTCCAGGTCCACTTAAAGCACCCTGTCTTCTCTCCTGGTGGGTTTTAAAGAAAATCCTTGAATCTACTCAGTATGAGCACTCGGCTTGCAAAAAAAACAAAATGCTTAGTGAAAGAACAAGAAGAAGAAAAAATGACAACTCTCTCCCATAAATCTAAAATGCTTTTGCTTTTACCATAAATAAATGACTTTTGTGTTTAATTTATATCGACAAGCTGGGGTTCCTCCCTAGACTCAAACCAAATGAAATGATTTATCAGAGGGTATAAGGTACATGATTTCAATGTTCCACAAATCTATATAAAACTGTTTAAGTACAGACTTGACTTTGGCTTCGTGCACAGCGGCTAGGTCTGATCCATTTTATTTGTCTGTTTTAACTATGTGCAATGCAAACTCTTTAAAAATAACATTAAAAGCTGATTAATACTTCATTATAGTTTGACATACAGTAAGTTTTTACCATACAACAAAACTGTTTATTTTGCGGAACATGAAAACCTTAAAAAAAAAAAAAAATGTTTGTGACTTTAAAAGGGTCAAAGTGCTGTATGAGGACCATCTGACATCTTTAACGTTCAACGAGAGCTCTGCTGATGACTATAGGATTGTCATGATGGTTGTTCAAAAATAGCTATCATATTGTCTGGATTCAGAACACTCTCCCAAATTCTCCATATTCCAGACTACACATATTCTCTGCTTTATTTGATATTACGATTTCATACTATCAACTGTAAGCATAGTCTAGTCTTCTTTCAACGGAGCCAGAAAGAAAACTTCTGTTTACAGGATAGATTTCTTTGAATTAACAAGACTATCGGAGATAAATCAGCTTAGAAACAACTCTTCTATATAGGCTTTAAAAACAGGCTAAAGACCACCATGGCTCAAGCAAAAGCAGTACCACAAACATAATTGACAACCCAGAGCACTTTGGTTGAGTTTTTGGGTGTTCATTACCATAGATTCTCCCAATCAAACCAAGTGTTATATGTAAATGTGAGTAGAATATTACCCAACATAATAGGAGTTTAAACCGAGATGAAGTTGTGAAAAACGGACCATGATCACATAAGCATTAGCATGTCCATGATTACCATTTCAGTAGATTATTTATAGTAAAATGATGCTGTGGCAATAGGTCATTAAAAGGAGCCCTGTAAGTAAAGACTCTGTATAATAACAATGTCTTGCTGATATCCAAGGAGAGAAAGTGAAGATGGCCAGATTCATCTGGGCCCACTCCAATTTAGAGCCTCAAAAGAACAATAGCTTAAAAGACCAGCACCCTTTATCTGTCTGTTGTAAGCCAACAAGTCTAGTGGGTCCACAGACTATACCAGCTTCAATTCATTGTTTAGCTGGAGCTGCTGGCTGGTGATGGGGTAGAAGACTGGCTGGCAAAACCAGTAGACCCCGTACCAGATCCATTGCTGACCAACGATGCTTGCTGACCAAAGTTAGTGGTTCTCAGAGTGGCAAGATGTCGAGCAGAGAAGACATGGTCACGTGCTGCGGCCCTGGATTCAAATTCAATCCCACAGGCGTCGCACTTGCCTCTCAGTGTCTCACGGCCTGTTGTCTGGCCGATGGTATATGATGGAGTTGGTTCCACAACTGTCAGTTGTACAGGTTTGGGCAGGATGGGACGGTTGGCTCGGAGAGCATTGTATTGCAGGTAGCTACCCGAGCTGACATCTACCTTCTTGGAAGGGTCAATGGGATTAGGCGACTGTGTGAAGATGTAAAAATTACATTGTTAGTTTCATTTCATTACAGAAAAACAAAATTAATTAAGCATTAACAACAGAGAAAACTGTGTGTGTGGGGGTGAGGGGGGGGTTCTACATTGATCATAGTAACACAGCTTGCTTTACTAAGTTAGGAGTTATAAATGCTATTAAAGTGTGAGAATTAATCTGCTCAAGTCAATTAAAGCACGCAGCTCTGAAAAACCATTAGCACGACCACTGCACATCACGCGCACACAAGTTACTGACTGACAGCTTACAGCTTGTTTCGCTGTACATAGTTAATGCTATAAATTTCGGAGATATTCAACCAAGTATATAGTCCTATTAAACATTCCACACACATCAAAATGACTGTGATGCATGTAGAAACTCTATTCATGTGTATCTCTGAAAGAGAGGGCATTTTTTCACATTCCAGATGAAACTGGATAAAATGCATCTGGTTGTTAAAGCCACATATGTAAATTTTACTCCTCCCATAATGGTAAAAAATAAACATGTGAGAGCGCATTATAACAGCTCCCGGTGGCCAGATATGACAGTACTACTGCAACACACGCGTCACAGAGGAGCAGCTGAGTATCTCCTCAACAAGCCGACGTGCAAACTGACGCAAATTAAACAAAGTTGTTAAATTATCTTACCAAAGCTGATGCAGCTCTCTCTCCTTAATTGCGGTCTTTGATTTAGAAATTAGCTGATGATAAATAAAATGAAGCTCATTTCTTGCTCTCATTGACGTGAACCCTATTTCAGATATATTTAAGATTCTGCACTACTATATTAGCCATTATGAATATTTAAAGTATATTTATGTGTATTTATACATATGTTGGGTGATAGGAGGGCACAGGTTAGGTTAGGGCACAGGTTAGGTTAGGGCACAGTGATTAACTCAGAAACTTAAAAATGGCAAAAGGTTGCCGACCCATGGTCTAAGTGCTCAAGTTTTGGTAAAAAAAAAAAAAAAAAACCCAAGCAATTTTAGTAGTAAAATCATAGCAGCTGCCACTACTTTCCTGTGCACCATACACTTCTGTCCAGCAGGTGGCGGAAACAATCATCTGCTTCTAGGCATCAATGTAAAAGATTCAAGGGCTGCGTCCCAATTCAGAGGCTGCATCCTTCAAAGGCCGCATTCGAAGGCCGATTGCATCACAGTAGCGTGACGAAGGCTGTCCCAATTCTAAGGCACCTTGAAATGCGGCCTTGAAATGCGTCCTTCGTTTCCTGCGCATTGAATTACACAACAAATGGAACCTTCGTGGCCTAGTATACCCCAAAATTCATTGCATGCCAGTGACGACAGGATGCCGGATTACACTTTCAAATGCAAGTATTGGGTGTCAACTTACTCGAATATCTAATGATACAAATGTAAAAATAAAAAATTTAAAGCAATTCAAATGCTGAATCATATCTTACTAAGATGCGATTTTATATAGTTTATACTCTTTATTAGTACATAAATGGACCACGGTGAGCATATTTAGACAAGTTGTGAACCCTGTTTTGTTTTCAGACAGTTGAATATAACTTTCAAAAAAGTCCAGTACAAACATTACTGCCGCTCGTTAACGGCAGCTGTCTCAGTTGCTAGTCGACAAGAGCAATCCTCCGTAGGCTAGACCGTCCCATTTAACAACACTCAGTCCGACCTTTGCGGACTTCGAAGGATGCAGCCTCTGAATTGGGACACAGTTAAAGAAAAAGAAGTAAAAAAAGTAAAAGAAGCATTTTGCCACATACTGTGTGAAGCGTAGATGGCGCACAAGAGAGAAGTGGCAGCCCACGTTTTACTACTTACATTTCGGGGTGAACGAAGCACTTAAATACCCAACCAGATTAAATGATCTCCTTTTGTGTAAAAGAATGTAAAAAGATAAATGAGAATGTAATGCAAACAGGTTTGGAATGACATGAGGTTGAGTCAATTTTGGATTAATAATTTTTTTTTAAAGGCATCACCAACCAATATGTCAAAAGAAATAATAAAATATGAATTAAAGATGACACTACTTTCTTAGTCTACTGCACCGGGCACATTTTTTATAACGTGTTGCTAGCCTATGACATGAGAAAGTATCTGGACACCTGTAAAGCTAATGACATTGTAGCAAAATAGTAGTGCCCTTACCATTTTCTCTTGCTGAAGCCTCCAGCGTTTCTCCTTGGCACGTGTATTTTGGAACCAGATTTGCACAACCTTCAGTGGAAGCCCAAGCTCTGTCCCCACTGCCTCACACTCCAGTGCATTAGGATGAGCACATGTCTCGTAGCACGACTGCAGGATGGACAGCTGAAGACAGTTCAGGTGAGTTCGAGGTCGTCTTGGGGTGGAGTTCTGCAGCATGTAACTTGTTTCTTTTTGGTTTTGACCAGAGGATACAGTAACCGTCACAGGAGATGGCGTGGTGGGCGTGGTGGTAGTGGGTGTAGGTCGCTGTGAGCTCAAGCCTAATTGTTCTCTTGAAAGGGTGTTGATCTTGAATGGACCTTTCTGAGACCAATATTTGAGCCCATTGTGTTTCTGAGATGCCAAGGCAGAAGATTTGTTAATTGGCGTAGGGGACAATTTTGGGACAATGTGGCTGGTAGTCCCAGACTCGACCTCTCCTCGGTAATCGTCATCATCTTCATCAGTATGGTCTGACTCGGCTCGTACCTCTTCAACCTTCCTTTTCGGAGCAGATCGAGATGTAGGAATCCCACTGACTAGCAGAGGAACTGCAACCGGAGTGGCCACTGTCTTAGGAGCTATTTTAACCATTGTAATGGGAGTTGCTTCTGTTTTGGTCTTGTGAATTAATGAAGGGCCAGTGGACACAACGGTGAAAGAGGCTGTCTGATTTGGTCTACTTGGACCTTGAGTGGGAGTTTTCAGGGGCTCCTTGACCTCCTTCACCTTATCTGTCTTTGGAGGAATATTTCCAGTTTGGGGTTTTGCAGAGGCCCAGCCAGTAGAGGGACTTGGATTAGGTTTAGGTGGGGTTGAGAATATGGGCTTTGAGAGTGGCCAGGTGAACTTAATGAGTGGTTTCCCAACAGCTGCCAAAGTGCCATCACTGATAAAACGGACCTCTCCCTTTCGCTCCCTAGCCCTCATATTCTGGAACCAGATCTGAACCACTTTCTTTGGAAGGTTTACCCACTCAGATATTTGTTCAAATTCATGCTTGCCTGGGTTTGGATCTTTGAAATAACATCCGTAAAGAATATCAAGCTGGTCAGCATGGATGATGGTCCTGGAACGTCTCATGTCCCTGAACCGTCTGACTTTTGGCCTCTTTTGATCCCGCTCTTTTTCTCGTTCCTTCTCTTTTTCCCTTTCCATGAGTGATGTGCTGACCTTTTCTGCTGCCCGCATATACACAGTGCTAGTCTTAGCCAAATTATTGCGATTGGAAGATGGTAAAGCAATGGCAGACTCTGGCTTCACCTGAACAACGATGAGACCTCCATCTGTAGGAACCCCAACAGTCGCTGGTCTCAAACCCAAACCATCAAGCAAATGACTTTTCTGTATAGAGGACTTGTTAGCTGGGGAGACAGATGATATTGTAGAGCTGTGGTTTTTCCCCATGCTTAGATCCAAAGCAGACTCGCAATCATTACCATTAGATAAGAAGGAGTGTGTAAGAGAGGTGGGTGCAGCTGGACTCCGAGTGTTTGAAAAGGCCATTTTACCCCGATCTCCTTCAGAAAGACCCACCCCAATAACTGATGAAGGAAGTGAGAGTACATATGGACTGTATAACTGGGTGGAAAGTGGAGCCAATGACAGGGAAAGGGGCAATGACTGCAAGATGCCAGTTGGAACGCCCTGATGATCGACCGCAACTGAAAAAGGAGTAGGAGGGTCAGCTTGTGCTTCCAACTGAAGATCAAGATCTATATCTTGCTTCTCTCGCTTGATCTCCACCTCTTCCTTGTCAAACTCACTCTTTCTCTTTTTCCTCTTCATACTTTGTTCATCATCATATTCGTCCTCTGCATCCGAGAGGAAGACTGTAGTAGAACGAAGAACCTTTCCACCACCACTTGACCTTTCAACTGTTGGCTCTACCTGTGAAGACTGTTTGATTGGGCTACCTGACTCTTCCCTCATAGAGCTGCTTTGACTTTCTTCATCAGTCACGATAACAGAAGTGTAGAACTCTTCGTTTTCAGAGTCCGATGTCAACAGCAATTCTCTTGGGCTTCCCTTACCAATCCTGTGTCGTTCTGCACTACTGGAAAGGTCAATGGCATGACTGCCTGTTGCTGGTGGACTATGTCCATCTTCACCCTCATCTATCATTAAATTACCCTCTTCTTCCTCCATACTTCTGTCCAATTCATCATGGAAGCTGTCTAATCTCTCCCTATCTTTGGATTGCCGGGCATCTAAGAACCACTTGCGTACCTCTTCTCCACTTAGCCCCACCTCCCTGCCGAGGGCTTCACAGTCCTCCCGCTGAGGACTAGATGTTTCAGCATTATCTCGTGACTCTAAAAAGGCCCACAGAACCTGAGACTGGAACTCAGTGAGCACAGACCGTCCTGAAGACAAGAGTGGATGATCTTTAGTACTTCTATGGCCTAAAGCTCTTAAGGCAAAATTAGTGTTACGAAAGGTACAGTAAACAGCGCCAGAGCTGTTAACAGGATGTGCATGGCTGAGACCTTGGTTTGGATCCAAAGCACATGACAACGAAATATCATGCTGAAGGACAGAGGCTGCTGAGGATTCAGTTACTTTGGAGTTTGCATCATCCCCCTGACACACCTTTTCACTGTTCCTCTCAACTTCCATTTCACTTTCTTCTTGCTCTTTTTCATCACATGCCTTGCCATCACACACCATTTTCTCACTTCGCTCTTGTGTATTCTCACTCTTAATAAACATCTCTTTTTTTATCCGATCAATTTTCCAGTCCTCTTCAGATTTTAGTGACATTTGCTGATCACAAGGCTCTACTTTTATCTCATTGTGCACTCTCATGTCTGCACCCTTGTCTACCATCTTGTTGGTCTCCTCTAAACTCATTTGAGTGGTGGTTGGGAGGCCAAATGCAGCCCACTGACTTTGTAAGCCACTGAGTCTTTGGGCCAAGAGAGCCTGTTGTGCAGCACTGAGACCAAGAACTGGCACTGCCTGCTGCAAAAGCTGGTTAGGAGATTCTGGATTCTGGCCCTGGATTTGGGTTTGAGTTTGGAGTCCATTCAACACCAGGGGCATGAGCATATGAGGCTGGGGTATAAGCTGCGGGGTAGCTGCCCCTGGTGTTGCAGATGTCCCAGTCGTGAAGAGAGGAGGAAGAATGGAGTGTGGGAGAGAATTTGGGCTGGAAGTCAGGAGAGTGAGAATAGCAGACATGGCTTGTGCGGAGGCCACCGGAGAAGAAAGTAATGAGGGAGCTAGCTGAGGCTGCATCTGCTCTCCGTCTTTGGTCGTTACTGCTGATGGAGTCAGGTTTGCTTGGGTGACACAATTGCTGGTGGAGGCGTTAACTAATTGTGTGGTGCTTCCAACAGTGGTCGCAGCCAAGTTTGTAACCATGGTTCCAGTTCCTGTATTTGCAGTGGAACTAGGAGTAGCATTCCCTGCACTCCTGCTGCGACTCTGGTGCAACACAGATTTTAAATGACTTTCCAGGGTAATGGCATGATTGTAGGAGACACGACAGACGGCACACTGGTATGGTTTGTTGGAGACATAAGGTCGAGCCAGGAAAGGGGTTGAGTCACTGTCTTTAACCGTCCCGGTTCTCATCCTCTGAATATGGGTGGTTGAATTATAATGAACACTCAATGCTGTTCTAGTGGGAAATGACTCCAAACACGCATTACACTTGAATGGACGGTTATCACCTTCAGAGGCTACACTGTTTTTACAGACAGATCTGCCATTGCTTACAGAAGCCTCTGATGTTTTTATAGTTTGCTCCACATTGTCCTGATCTGACTCCAGGCCAGCCACGTCACTTTCCTCATTTCTTCCTCCCTCCAGCTCTTCATCCAGCCTTTTTTCCTGAGAAGAACCACCCTTGTCACCTGCATCTGTAGATTCGCTCTCATTTTGGGAAGCCATTGAGGAGGACTTTGTGTTCTCTAAATGTTTCTGCTGAGATGCGTCATCTAATGAATTGATAAAAAAAACAAAATACAGTGTTAGTCAGCATTTACAAACAAAAAAAGTCAAAAATAAGTGCAGTTTTATTATGCTGAATATGTAAAACAGGTCTTCAAAAAGGGAGCAATTTCACAAATTGTCTGTTAATTGTAAAAAGTTATATTAAACCAAAGGTAAAGTTAACAATACATTTATTAAGATGAATCGTAATATAAATGTGTATGAATCCATAAATCAATGTTTATTTGACCAATATCATCACATAGGTAAATAAATTATATATAGGTATAATAGAGCAGGCTTAAATCACAACACTCGGTTTACGATATGCAACTGGGGTCCCTGGTCCATCCCTCACCTTAAAAAGCTTGAAACCCCCTTATGTCCGAATTCAGAACACAAGTAATTTGTTTGGATTTAAAAACAACCAGTGAAACGTAAATAATCTGCAACAAATCGTTTTTTTTTTTTTTTTTTCAACCATCACATCCAGGAGTCAGCAGGAAAACTGAATACTTGTGGGGGCCACACTCAGCTACAACTTAAAGGTGCTTCATTGCCATGGAAACTACTGAAGCAAGGTGGTCACCAACACAGCCAATTGTGTGTCCAGTGGTGCATAACCTAAGCCTGGTATCAATAACATTGGAACCTAAGATCTCAGTGCTGGGATAGTGTTAAATCACTGTGGCACAAATACAAACACTTAACATTATAATACAATTAACAATAACTTTATAGATGATCAAAACTCACCTGAATCATTTAGGGCTTTGGATTCTTCATCTTCAGCAATGGAAGACTGCTTAGGAGCAGCCTTATGAAAAGAGGAAATCAATTATTTACTTTTAAAGCAAACAAAACAAACTTGTGTAAGCTTATAGTTTCACTGACAACACACAATGTAATTTATTTCGTAAAAAAAAAAGCATTTGCCATCAAAACGTACATAATGACATCACTAAACTTTACAAACATTTTTCTTTCCCAAAAAGTCCATCTTAAATATACTCACAATATCCAGTAACTTATCAAGGCAAGCAGGGAGGACACTGTGTTTGTCCGTAAGGTGATGAGAGAGATTCTCACGGTCTGGTTGACTTTCTTGACATAGAGGGCATAAACACATTGACCCCCTGTTACTGGCACCTCCCAGAGTTTCTCCTGGCTCCTCCTGAAACCAAAGTGGTATTATTATATGCAATAATATTTTATCATACCTAAATAAGGCATTTTATTTTATTATAGGGCTGGGCAACGATTAATCGTGATTAATCGCATCCAAAATAAAAGTTTGTGTTTACATAATATATATGTGTAGTGTGTATAATTATTTTGTACATATATAAATACACACACATGCATGTATATATTTAAGAAATATTTGCATGTATATACTTTATATATATTTATACATAATTAATAGTATATATAAATATAAATATTTGATATATTAATAACACATTTTTCTTAAATGTATACATGCATGTGTGTGTATTTATATATACAAAATAATTATACACACTACACACACATATATTATGTAAACACAAACTTTTATTTTGGATGCGATTAATCGTGATTAATCGTTGCCCAGCCCTATTTTATTACTTGTTTATTTTCAGAATTTCTCATATTCTATACTATAAAATTTCTCATATTTTATAGTATGTATCTATTTTTGTTTCAAGTGGCCTCATGCTACTGTGTGCAATTTTTTAATGCATCAGTGATCTAAAAGAAATGTGAAATTAACAAATACACAAAATAAGTGCAGAACTTCCTAGTCTTAAAGGGTTAGTTCACCTAAAACTGAAATTGCATCCTTATGTCATTCCTAACCTGTATGCCTGACTTTCTTCTGCAGAATGCAAAAGAAAATATTCTGAAGAACATTGGTGTGCAAACAACATCGGACCCCATTGACTTTCAAAACAGATATTTTTATCTTTATTTTCCACAGAAGAAAGTAAGTCATTCAGGATTGAATTTGGAATGTCATAAGGGTGAGCAAATGATGACAGAATATTTTTTTTTATAAAAATTAGATGATTACATAAACATAGTATATATATAGAATAAATAGATTTATAGACAGCATCTAATGCATTAACATTCTTCATGTCACTGCATGTATTATTATGCCTAATGTACAGTCAGCTCTAAAATAGTTGTTCAGTTCACATAAGCTTAATCGACAAAACTCTAAAATATACTTTAAGAAAGGCAACAATTGTCTCGCTTATTAATTGGGTTTGAAGTTAGATGACACTTACAAATCAAAACAACAACAAAATCACCATGCATAACATTGGGACATATCACTCAACTACCCCTTTCTTTCATCCAAGTATGTTCACAATCAGGTCTGATATTGTGACCTCTAGTTATTTATATAGGCCATACAATCTGTGCTATGCACTTATAACAGTATTCTTCCAAGACATCAAATCTGATTCACAGATGCAGTTATGTTCTTTCTGTTAGACACAACATAACAAAACTGGACCACCGATACCTTGTGGCCTGTTTATAAATCATGCATTTGAAGGCACATTACTTTACTTAAGGCATACCATGTTAATACAATCTGATAAGCAGAATCATACATGCATTTATCAGTTCTGCAATAACTAGGCTATTTAGCGTCAGAGGAGGCCCAAATGTTGACCTTGACTAGTCGTATAATATGCTGATGTGAGTGAAATTTGTCAACATGTTGCCCCTTGTGAATAAGGCGACATGGGCTGTAAATAACAGATAATGGGTGCAAATCCCCTGGGATGTTAATGACAGTAATGTCTCTTTAAAACAATAACCCAAATAAATAAATAACACATACGTCGAGATCAAAGATTTAAACATCTTAATTCACATCTAAACGACTTCATTTCGCGTATGCATGCAAAATCGTTTCAATTACACCGTTTCTGGCTTCGATTTTACATGCCACACTGTCAAGTAACGAACAGACATCAAATGCCAACAGTGCTACAATGCCACGCCAATTAGCTTCCCTGCTAGACTGAAAACATGCACTGAATCCTCAAGACAACTACTATTAACTTCTCCTAAAAGTCAAAGACAGACGAACCCACACGCCGCGGGACACTGTCGTTCGACAGCGAGCTCATATGGCCGCCATAACTCTTGATGATTTCGTTAATTAACCCACAGCCTAATTAGCAAGACCCGTGTGCTGTTGAATCAATTGGAAACGGAGAGCTTTAGCCTGCCTCGCTAACACGCATATATACACACACTCTCTCTCTCCCTCTCTCTCTCACTCCAGTGTAATCACGACAAATATCCCATTAAAGTGCATCGCACTGCAGTCTCCTGCCCTAATAACCCCCTTTTCCAACTTTAATCGCTGCAAAGCGACTGATTTTAGTGATTTCTTACTTGAAGGGTGATGTTAAAACAAAAGAAGCCGTTTTCTCATAAACAGTCGTGGCACTTCACATGGCTAACGCAGCTAACAACACTCAACAAATTGGTCAACTAATTATGTATCGCGTATCACGCCACAAATCGCCCACAAACTTCTCAAAGACACAAAATAAGAGCTGCGAGAATAGATTATAAGGTATATAACAATAGCAACGCTCGATAAGCTGCAGTCCAAGTCTGCTTTATTGCGCTAATTGAATTGTTTAAATAGGCTTTCGGCTCTCAGATGTAAAACCTCGGGCTTGATTAGTTCCTCGCCTCCCTGATTGTGGCCTGTTGGTCGGGCATTGAGACATTCCCCGCCCGCCGTCCGCTGCACAGCGGAAATTGCGGCCTACATCGACTAAGCTATTTAATTAATGAATTTGGGTTGCTTCATACAGATGTGTTAACAAAACCAAGCCGTTTGTCGTCTCCCTTCGGCATTTAACTAACCCAATACCTTGCATTTGGCGGTCTAAGTTCCTCGTTTAGTAGATAATGTAGATATTAAGCACAATAAGTGTGTTTTAATAATTGTAGAGCGCAGTAATTAACGATGGACGAAGCGCATTGCTGCTCGAAAAGAGCGACGTGCAACACAACGAGCAGCGAAAGGGGGTGGCGGGGCCAAAATGAGAGACCGAGGCAGAAAAGTTTGGATTTGAACACTCGAAATCCAACTAAATATTCGCAATGAAATGGCATGCATCAAATGATCTATCGTGCTCAGGACGCGATGAGATCCGCATCGCCCACACGATCGCAACTTCTTGATCAATTCGGCGTCAACATCGTTTAATTAACACTAAAGCAATTAGCTAAGGCTTTACCTGCATGGTTGGGACTCCAGCACACGCTTCCTCTCGCTCTTTAAAACTGAAAAGTTTTGTCTCTCTCTCCCTCCCTCACTTACTCACTCACTCCCTCCCTCACTCACTCACTCACTCCCTCTCTCTCTCTGTTCACTCTTGCATTGCTCTCCTCTAGTAAACACACGACAGCTCCCCCAAAAGCTGACTGCTAACTCTCTCCAAGAATGTGTCTCTTCCCACTAACGGTTCGATTCAACAACACACCTAAAATCATGTTAGAACATTGTTATACTGTCATCAATTAAAGTATTTGTAACTTTATTTAAAATTTCGTCTTTAAGAATGTAGAGGCGAAGTATTAAAACATACACGGCAAATGAGAGAAATGTTTATATAATGGGGTGTATAAATAAATAAATAATATATATATTTTTATGTTTTTGGTAATATCGTGTAATAATGATAGGATATGTAATAAGAAAAAATATATAGGTCTAAGCTAATACATGTAATCTTAACAAATAAAAAAAATAGGGTTCAACTGGGACTAATGTGCTGATCAAACTGATTGCAGACTCATTTGATTATTAAAACACTACGAAACTGTAACAAGAATCGTTAATTCAAATATTTAGCCACATTTGAATACTTAAAAAATCACCCTGTTCTGCACTCTGCGTATGTGGTGCGCTTAATGACGAGCAGATTTTAGGCTGTCCGTGAACATGCCTGACCAGAAAAGCTGTACAGGACCCCCGATTCCACGTCTGTCCTCATTACACTGATTGATCGGTAAGTTCCTATAGTAAGTACAGATATTTTTGTTTGATGGTTTGTATCGTTGACTCGGAATGACTGTCACATCCTGATTTTAAACCGCAGTTGTAGTTACAGTATAATTACCTCAGCTAACAATGTATTAACCTGTTAGTAGGTTCCCGGCAGTATTTGTTGTTGTCCGTGTCTCATGAGCTGCCTACTTTGACAGCATTTGAAGTCATCGTCCCGAAAGCAAAAAAAAAAAAAAACACTGCCTCACTACGCAGCTCACTTGGTTTTGAAACCCAGCTGATCTGAATGTGGACATTTTACAACATTATCTTTTAATTTATAGGTTGTCCATTACTGCAGAAAGTCTTTAATAATGCGAAAATTCTATTTTCTCTTTTTTTATTTTTATATCTCATATAGGACAAAATGACTGTAGAGGTGGAGAGAAAATTTGTTTGTAATGCAGAAATTATGGGGAAACTACCGCATATTGGAGGTGTGTTAAAAAAAATTTATTCACGTTTATATATATGTATTTTAGATTGGTAACGTTTAATGTTTTTGAAAGAAGTCTCTTATGCTCATCAAGCCTGAATTTATTTTATCAAAAATACAGAAAAAAATATAATTTTGTGAAATATTATTACAATTTAAAATAATACTTTTCAATTTGAATATAGTTTAAAATATAATTTATTTCTGTGATGCAAAGCTGAATTTTTAGCAGTCATTACTATACTTCGATACTTCAGAAATCATGATGATAATGATTTATCATCACTGTTGGAGTTGTGCTGCTTAAATTTTTTTTTTTATATTCTGTGATAGCCTACTTTTTTCACGATTCTTAGAATAAAAAATAAAATAAAAAAAGAGGAGCATTTATTTAAAATGGAAATCTTTAACTTCAAGATCTTCCAATGTTTGGGGTCAGTATTTTTTTTTTTTTTCATTTTTGAAAGAAATTAATACTTTTATTCAGCAAGGATGTGTTAAATTGATAAAAAGTGATCGTAAAGATTTGAATTGTTAGAAAAGTTTAATATGTAGTGTAAATGCTGTTCTTTTTAACTTTTTATTCATCAATGAATCCTGAAAAGGTATCACAGGTTCCAAAAAAAAATATTAAGCAGCACAACTGTTTCAGCTTATTAGAATGATTTCTGAAGGATCACGTGACACTCAAGACTCCAGTAAAGACTGATGAAATTCATCTTTGCATTACAGAAATAAATTCTATTTTAAAGTATATTAAAATAGAAAAAACATTATTTTAAATTGTAATAATATTTCACAATATTACTGGTTTTTTTTTTACTGCATTTTTGATCAAATAAATGCAGGCTTGGTGAGCATAAGAGACTTCTTTCAAAAACATTAAAAATAGTAATGTTTCCAAACTTTTGACCAGTACTACACACACATGATACATGTATATTCATGTCTCTACACAGCTAAATGCATTGGTCAGCGGCAGTTTCAAGACCAGTACTTTGACTCTCCAGATTTCATCCTCACACTAAAAGATTTCTGGCTGAGATGCCGAGAGGGATTGTGGGAATTGAAATGCCCTGCAGTTTCAGGAACTACACCTGACAATGAAACTCAGGCCCTTTGCTCACGATACAGAGAGATAACCAGTTTCCCTCTGATTCAATCAGAAGTCAAAAGGATTATCAGGGAACACACTGCTGAAGGGAGTGAATCAAATTCCTCACAAAGGGAACAAATTGACAAAGTGGCAGAAAATGAGGACACAGAGATCTGTTCAGCAGATGCCACAAAGTGGCTGTCTGACCTCAATCTCATCTGTTTTGCTGAGTTCAAGACCAAGCGCTGCTCATTCATGCTAGAGAGAGACGGTGCAGTGCGGGTGGATCTGGACCAGGCTGATTTCGGATATTGTGTGGGAGAGATTGAGGTTCTGGTGCCTGAAGGAGGTGACATGAATGCAGCTCTGCAGAGGATTACAAGCACTGCTGCAGAACTGGGTGAGCTGATGTGTTGTGTGTGGACACTGCCATATATACAGAGGGAATTTGTTATATATATATATGAATTTTTCTTAGTCAAAACTGACAATTCTCTAATTCTCTAAAAAATAACTTCCCCTTCCTTTTGCAGCAACATCTCTTCTCTGATGATGTGTTAACTGCCGTGAGGGCGGGGCAACCTGTCACTCACATGACATCACAGCAATAGGAAACCATATTCAAAGATGCAATCAATTCCCGATGGACAAAATCAAGTCCCGCCCACATTTATTCTTGTTTGAGAAGCCGCTTCACTCGGATATACGTCCCAATGCGGAAGAAAAGACTATTGCAACTTCCGTTTCATAGCTGTATAAAGTTTTAGTAATTTTGTCATTTTCATTTGTCTCTTTAGTTTTTATTAATTTTAATTTCAGTTTTAGTTATACATTTTTTTTTCTTGGTAGCTTGCTGAAATGAAATAAATTTAAGTTTTTATTTTATTTCAGTTAATGTTTGTTTCAAGTAACAAGTGTTTTTATTTTGTCAAGTCAACTTTATTTATATAGCGCTTTATACAATATTGATTGTTTAAAATCAGCTTCACAGTAATAAACAGGAAAATAACAATGAGTGACGCAAACTTCACAATGATGCAAACATCAAATATGAGAAAAATGTAAATACTGCTGTGCAGGTCAACAGAAGAAAATACTGTCGTTCAGCTCAAGGCAGTTCAGTGTTGATTGAGTTCAGTTCAAGTTTTATATAGTTTAGTTTTAGGTTCAGTGTTGGCTAAAGTCAGCATGAAACAGAAGTTGTGATAGTCTTTTCTTCCCTATTGTGACGTACATCTGAGTGAAATGGCTTCTTGAACAAGAATAAATGTGGGGCGGGACTTGATTTTGTCTATCAGGAATTGATTAGATGGTTGTATAATGTGTAGATAGTGCCCAGATAAATCATTTATATAAATACTTCAATATTCCATAAAAATCAAAAATGGTCAATTCTGAGTTCAAGGTGATTTTAACTATAATAACCCTGTCTAAGACATCCAAAGATGCATATCTGCTGCCTAGTCAACATTACTGTAAAACAACTATAAGCAAATGGCTAAAACACTTCATTGGCGTCTGTTATTTATCAATAACCCATTAGAATTAAAGATAAATAATGCTACATGAACCTCTTTTATAATATAACCATTTTATGATATAAAATGTATTTTTTTTTTGTCTGTCTTCACAGGTTTAAGCTGTGAGAAGAGAGTAAAGGGGAAAATGGATATTTACCTTCAAAGATATCAACCAGACCACTATGCAAAACTTCTCAATGCTCATATTTTATGAGGAATCACTAGTGTAACATGTAATTTGTAGTTTTTAATTGTGATTAATTTAGTGCTCTACACAAAGAAAAAAGAAACTAATCACTGTCGTGAAGTACAGATAAATACAGATAAAGTATTTAAAAGTATAGAATGTAGCATTGCACTGTGACATTGTATCATGGCAGTTTGGGTCAGTCAAACAAAGCAGATATTTGATTACAAAATATGAGTACCTTAATAAAACAGTCTTTGTGATTTGTTTTGGCACTATACTGTGTGTATATATATATATATATATATATATATATATATATATATATATATATATATATATATATATATATATATATATATATATATATATATATTAAACAACTGTTGAACTTTACTCTTAAATGGTTCTGTTACATTATTTTGAGTTATTGCATAATACTTTCATGTTAAACAAGTTATTTCTTTTTTTCCCTAGTGATTAAGTATGTTTATGAGCTGTTTAATTCATGAAATCAAATCAAAATAAAAAAAATGAATTAAAATGAAATCCATAAAATGATGCCATGATGGGAACCCCTAAATATTTCTTTATAAAGTGTCTGACAGAACCCTTTAAGGTTCTGTTTAGAACCTTTTCTTGAACAAGAGTGGGCTTGTTACATGTATCATGGACAATAAGAAGCAATATAATACGATCTTTACTAAAAGTTGCTATTTGTCTTACAGTAAATCATGTGTTAGATTGTTTGATCCCCCAAAAAATATGCCGTTTTCGAAAATATTACATTTCAGGTACTTTTATTTTGAAAGTAATTTAGCAATTTTCTGCTTTGACCTTAATAGATTGTAAAGTGCACCGTTTGCTCAGCAGAGAGCGCTGTTATCCTGCTGTTATCTCAGTTATGAGCTGTTCGCTCAGCATGCCAGCAGTGGGCGCAATGTTACTGGAAAAGCCATTGACAAGTTCATTAAACTCTGTTTTAACACCTGGTGGTTTTGGTAATCTATACGGAACAGTCTTCGGAATGATTAAAATGATCCTTATTCCTTACAAATGATTTATGGCGCGTTAGTTAGATCGATTATATATATATATTACTCTGATTCATTGTTGACACCACGGCAATGTCCAACTCTTATGGACATTATGCCACAATGACATGATTATGATTATCAAATATTATTTTTTTAACCCTAGTACATTCGGCATCAAATTGACATAGTTTGAGTGTGTAACTTACACTATTTACAAAATACACATTACAGAACAAAAAGTGTATGACTGTTAGAAAATATCTTGATTTAATTATGTGTGTTTTAAAAAGGAAGAATTTAAAATCTAAACGCAGTAGTTTTATGAGGTACATGCACATATTTTTTAAGATTTTAAAATCGGGATTAAATTGAGTCTTTTCTTCCCAATTGTGACGTATATCCGAGTGAAATTGCTTCTCGAACTTGTTGGGCGGGATTTGATTTTGTCAATGGGGACCTGATTGGTTGGATGGTTGTGGTTTGCTATTGGTGGATCTCATGTGAGTGACAGGACAGGTTGATCCCGCCCTCACGCCAGTAAACACATCATCAGAGAAGAGGTAGAAGGGAAATTATTTTGATTAAAGATAACAAGGGCTCATGAACTAAAATAATAATGATGCGCACAGAAAAAAATAATTTATAATGAACTGCAATATTCCATAAAAATAAGAATTGTCTATTTTGATTTCATTGTGACTTCAAACGCTTAAAAATTAACTGATGCATGCAATTGCTTTTAACATGATTTGTTTGATTTTAATAAGCACTGAAAATTAATTAGGCCTATAAATAATTTTATTATACTAAATATTTTACAATAAAAACATCAAAAGAGCACCCAGTCAAGGAAAAAAAAAGGTCATGATGGTAACAAGCTTACATGCAAGGCTGGAATAAAAGAGAGCTGAAGGGATGCAAGGTATTTATTTCATCTGGAGACTTCAGCTTGAGTGTGGAGAGAAGGCTTTTATGAGGAAATATTAGCAGAGGTGAAATATGATGCTGTGTACTCACTTTAAAGTGCAAGTAGGCTATCTCTGGCTTTCTTCTCCCTAACACAAGGCCTTTGCCTTCTATTATTTTTTGTTGATATCCCTGAGAACATTACTCTAGATATTTGCTCAGACCAACTCTGTTCATTGTATATATAACCATTGTGCATGGTTTGACAGGCTACAATTAAAGTGCCATTATTTCAGAGGAACCTTCAGATGGGAATGTCAGAGGGAGACAGAGGTGTATTTTTCACATCAAAACCATTGGATGCCTTGTAACTTTTGCTAATAAAAGCTTTAGTTTTGATGCTAACAATCCCACTTGCATCCATTCACATGCTAGTTCTCACAGTCTCACAAAACGTCTCTCTCTCTCTTTCCAAACAATCAGTGACCTTCCTGTCATCAATAACACTTACACAGGTGATCAAATGAAGCCACATGGCGCTGTTGCTTTGAAAGTTCTCACATTTGACTCCTCTCACAGCAGCTGCTTTACACTATTTTAGTTTGGCTTTGGCAGAGACAGTGAATACAGTCCCTACACACACACACACACACACACACACACACACACACACACACACACACACACACACACACACACACACACACACACACACACACACACAACGCGTCAAAATGTTTAAAAAACGTTTTGAATGTTGAGAGAAATAACGTTTTCATAACTTAATAGGAATGTTGGCAAAACGTTCTTAGAACATAATTTTGTTAGCTGAATCAGATTCAGTCAGAATCAGATATACACAATGAAATGCATTTTTAGTAGGCCTAGTAGAGATTTAAAATTCCTTGTTCTGTTGAGAATAAAAAAAATGATATTAAAGTCCCCCTGTAGTGATTAATAGTATCCCTTAAAAACTCATCTTTGATCACCAAAATGTTTTTTTCCCTAAAAAAAATCTTCATGCCTTAATGTAGCTTGAATGTAACTCACCCTTGCCTCATTATGTCATTAAGTATAGCCTACGCGGTTCTATGCATATGCAAAAAAGCCCCGCCCCCACTCACTCACGCTAGCTCAGAGATCCACTCGTTGACGATCACACGTTGACGTGATTGGTTACAAGGTATTTTGTGATGACAGAAACACCAACGATTTCAAACACTGTTTTTGAGACTGTATTTGTTTCACTGCAGTTTTAATGAGAAGATACAACAATGGTGTTGACTTATGCATCTGTACATGGTTTGTCTACATAGACATATAAACAACATTAAAAAGCTTGATTTTCAAAAATTAACCTCTGATTTTTCTTATATGTTACTGTGGGCTATATAAAAGGCAAGTATTTATATTTCCTCTTTATCAAAACAATTTAATGTTTAGAAAATTAAAAATGATTTGCATTTATTCAAGGTATTATTTCTAGAATCTTTCAGACCCTAAACAGAAACAATATAACATACTTCATTGATGACTTATGGAGCAAGTTCTCATGTGACATCATGACATATCAAGCTGATACACCAATGCTATTTGTTTTTGTTTGAGCTATTAAAGCCACCATGAAATCAAAATTGGCAATTCTTATTTTTTATGAAATATTGCAGTGTCTATTATAAATTATTCATTCGTGCACATAATAATTTTTTTTAAATACATGTGCCCTCATAATCTTTAATAATAATAAAAACTTACAGAGACGTCTCTTCTCTTCTCTGATATTGGCTTTGTCCGAAATCACATACTCTCTTCAGTATAGGTACATATTTTGAATAAGTAATTACTTCACAACTGCTAAAAAAGTATGATCTATATAGTGTTATAATGTGTGTAGTATGAATGTAATCTGGACGTACTACATTCGTCATGTTGTCATTATAATGTGACCTACCAGCGTCAGTTACGTCGCTTCACTGCATTCACTAATCCTCTCCCGTGGCCTCATGGGATAGTTAAGTCAAGTCAAGTCACCTTTGTTTATATAGCGCTTTTTACAATACTGATTGTTTCAAAGTCCTCAGTTCTCCTCTGGCCAACAGTAGTAAAAGTGTCCATTGCACACTTCAGATCAGAATCTCACCGGAAGAAGTAGGTCATCCGGGTACTTTTTCCCTACTCTTTTATGAGTACTGTGAATTTGGACATACTTTTGTCACATACTGTTTTTTCGCCTGTTAGCAGGGAAGTATGTGATTTCGGATGCAGTCGATGTGTTTACTAGCATAAGGGCGGGACAATCTGTCACTCACATGACATCACAGTTATAGCAAACCATAACCAACGATCCAATCAATTCCTGATGGACAAAATCAAGTCATACATGTTTGAGAAGCCGTTTCACTCGGATATACGTCACAATAGGGAAGAAAAGACAATCACAACTTCAGTTTCATGGCGATTTTCAGGGCACAAACAAAATATGAGGATTAGATGTGCTAATGACATTGTGAGTTGACTTGAGCAATAGTTTAGTGTAATTTAGTGTGACAGAAATAGTTCTTGCATTTGATAATTTGATATAAAGGTCAATAAATCATCTGAGGAAATGTTTACATGCAGCTGTTGTGGTTCACCCAAGAAAAAAAAATCAGAGTGGCTGTAGAATCAAACACAGAAACAGTAGAACATTTTGATGCATTACAGTGGGTGATGATGGCAAATGGTTTTCTATGTGAAAAATATATATATACAGTATATACACTGAACAAAATTATAAATGGAACACTTTTGTTTTTGCCCCCATTTTTCATGAGCTGAACTCAAAGATCTAAGACTTTTTCTATGTACACAAAAGGCCTATTTCTCTCAAATATTGTTCACAAATCTGTCTAAATCTGTGTTAGTGAGTACTTCTCCTTTGCCGAGATAATCCATCCACCTCACAAGTGTGGCATATCAAGATGCTGATTAGACAGCATGATTATTGCACAGGTGTGCCTTAGGCTGGCCACAATAAAAGGCCACTCTAAAATGTGCAGTTTTACTGTATAGGCTATATGCACGCATAAGTTCCGCATTTGACGCAAGGCTGCTCTTCAGTTTCCGGTTGGGGAGATTTAAAGCGGAGGAAAACCG